TTTTTTTGTCAGATCTTTCTGTTACACCTTGTGTACTATATTCAAATTATAAATAAGCTCAATAAATTTCAGTGTTTCATCTATTATAATTTGTTATATTGTGAAATTTTATCTTTAGTGACTATATAYATAGGCTACTGTTTGGTTGGCTAACTTTCAATACCAAATACGAACGAACATTACCTACCCCCCTCTCTTCATTAAGAGTGAACCTTATACATATATATATATTATGGTGGTACAAATGATATGATATATTATATAATAATTATCTCTGCGTACTCGGCGACCATATTACCATTCGCTGCGGCAATATATATAGACGTACGCCGTTTTGTAAACAAGACCTCATTAGAAGATAATATAGATCACTCCCAATAACCAGACAATATTTTATGTGTCTTTATAATAATATAATAATCTATATTTATATATAAGACAATGTGTAGAGCAGAAGATGTTTTTGAGGGAGATTAGAGTTTGTTGCCAAGTTACATAGAAATAAATAGTTAGTTGTAAATATAAGTTACATTACGAAAAAAATAAAAAAATAATTAAAATTTTTATATGCTGGTGCATATTTTTGCATGTCTTATAATATTTTATTTTTAAGGGCATTATTCTTAATTTTATGGTTCTACAATTTTTATTGGCGTGTGTTATGTATATATGTATATACAAGTTTGAAAATTATAACACCTATATAATAACTAATGCTAATAATCTATATAAGTAAATAATAAATATATATTATTTTTGATAGATCTCAGTTTTCAAACACCTATTGTTGGTATAAAAAAATATTTTCTTTAAATCATGGGTTTTCTATATCTAATTTTTAATTTTACGCATATAATAATAATAAKAAGAATTTCATTCAATCAACATTTTCAAAGCTATTTAAGCTATTTATTATTAAAGTTATTTTAGAAACTAAAAATTATGTTTTAAAAAATTACAAATAGAAGTATAGGTAGGTATATTTTTTTATTTCTGCAATTTTGAGAGTTTAACATAAACTATAAAACCACATCAAATTAATTAAACTTTTTCCTAAAAATACTAACTCTAGGCTCAACTGTATATAATTTTTAGATACTACAATACATCAATGCCTATTATGTTACAAAAAAAATTTGCATATGCTCAAAATATATTTGCACTTTTTTAACCTCATACGTACATCATGTATGAATTTTGCTAATATTCCCTATTTAATACATTTTAAAAGGATTAAGTTCCGTACCATAACACTTTTTGTGTGTATAGTGTATATGATTTAAAGAATCAATGACTACTAGATCGGTTTTTAAATAAAATGACAGGAATCGTTTTCAGAGATACCAGGAAATTTTAGAGATAGATTCAATCACATCCAATAGGTGATGTTAAGAAACTTTTTTACTTTTTATTATTTTTGTTAATTATATATTTACAGATGTAGGACGTGGAACTCTTTTTCTGTACTTTAGAGTATAGATTAATATAATTAATAAATTTCTCATGTTGTTCCGATCATCTGATCCACACCAGCACCAACTACTGATGGAACATGTAACCAACTGATTGTATGTGCAATGATCCTGTGTAACGAACAGCCATACGCCTAACTTAGCGATTATTAGGCAATATTTTGAATTTTTCACTCATACAAGACTAATAATTTGTGAAATCTGATACCTATAAGTGCTATATTATTGTTATTAATATATTATTATTTTAGTTGGGCCAATATTACGGGTTACGGGCTTTATTGGAAATCCTATGGACTGCCCCGAATCATAATAATATTTTAATAAATTTTATATTAAAACGGATTAAATTATATCAATAATAATAATATTATCGTTATCGTTTTTATTAGACTACGAAAAATACCGACTACGCTATATCATAATATATAATATAACATATATTATAATGAATGTGTGAGTTTCGTTCTTGTGTCAATCTCTTTGCTCAAAGTACGAGTTATGCAGCCCACGAAAGTCGTCTACACAGCTTGACGACGCGCCGCCACAGATTCGGTGGCTGACAGCAGCAGTGGCTGTTGTTGCTGCTGCTTCTGCTGCTGCTGCTGTCGTTGTTGTCTGAGCAGCGTTGCGTTCGACTGCTGGTACAACGCGTTCCTTGCGTCCCGCCGGTATAGCAACGTTTCGCGGCCCAGYCTGGGCACTTGTGGTCGGGTCATGATCGCCTGTCGGCCCAGACGCGGCGAGAATGGTGGCGAGTACGGTGGCGATCGGGCCGAGTGCCGCGACCTCGATGCAACGTCGTCATCGTCCTCTTCCGACGATCTTCCGTTCCTCGCGTTCTGCTTCATTTGCATCTGAGTATATACTGCCGAAAATAACACACAAGTATAAGTAAATTTGTATTTATTATGGAGTAAATAATAGTTAGGTAAATTTAAAAAAATAAATACGAAATC